TGCTGAGTGTCACAGCCAAGGAACTCTATCCGCAGGGCAATGTGGTTGTGCCACTGCCGGGGGTGTATCCTCACGTAGCGGGCAAAGAGGGGAGGCTCCAGGGTATTGATCACTGTGCTGGTGTGGTCTTGGTTTGCCTTGAAAATCTGGGGAGGAGAGAGAAATCAGGGGTGTGCTCTCCTCTGCTGGAAGGGTGAGCCCATGGCTTGAGGACACACTCAGCCCAGGCAAGCTCCACTTGGGAATGCTTTAGGGAGAAAAAAGCACAGCCTGAGTCACTGCTCTTGCAAAAATCCTGTGAGCCTGTTTGCTGCCAAGGGCTGTGCTTGTCACCCAGGGCTGGCCATGGGCTGCCCTTGGCTGTGGAGCAGCTCTGCTTACCTTCTCCTTGACATCCTGTAGGACCAGGCTCCAGTCCACACCGTTCTGGCTGCTGGAGACAGCAAACTCCTTCACAAACATGTGGGTGAAGACAGCTTTGGCACCCTGGGTTATGATTGCAGTCACCTTCTTGGTTACTTCAAAGTCCACCTGCAACCACTCTCTGGGGCTGTCACTCTGGAAAAGGACAGACTACCTTCAACACTTCAGCAACAATGAGAAAGACACCTCACTTGCAGCTGAAGCCAAACTAGCCCTGCACATAGTCCTGTGCTTCACCTGCCTTACCAGGCCCTTGGCTGGAGCTGCTGCAGTGCAGCAACTCTCCTGCCTGTGTGCAGGTGCCTTGCTTGCTTGATGTGCTGTGTACACATCCTTCCCAGGCCTGGCTAGGAGACATGGCAGGCACCCAGCCTGCCTGCTGAGCTCCTTGCCCGGGCTACCTTTGGCCGCCACGCGTTGGTCCTGCCCTGCAGGTTCAGGCGGGCCTGGGAGGGCGACCAGCTGGAGAAGACATTGGTGCTGTAGGAGGACGCGGAGATGCGCTGGTCAGGGATCCCTCTGCTCTCCATTCCAAGGGGCATGGAGCAGCCTGGAAGAGGGGAATGATGCTTGTTAGGGGAGGGTGACCAACACGACAAGGAGATGCCTGCTGGCTGCTCACTGCTCTAGATGCCCTCTGGTGACAGGTTCTCCTGTGCCTTGCTGCAGAGTCATGGTCCCTGCACTGCTCAGGGTCCCTGTGTGCAGCACAACTCTGGCTGGGGAGTGCCAAACTTCACCTGCCACTAGTCCCACCTTCTTTTCTCCCTGGAGATTCTATCTAGGAGGAATGTAAAGAATTTGTGCATCTGCCAGGATATAAGGAGACCTAAGAGTCTCCAGGAAAAGGAGGAGAATACCTGGCAGGGATACACCCTGCACGTGGTGATCAGGTGTATATGTGCACAGCTGCCTCAGAGCTGGCTGGCCAGCTTGTGGCATGGGGGGACAGAACAGTCACTGCTGCTTGTAGGTTATGGAGATTCCACCCTGCTGGTGTGCAAAGCTAAAGAGAGGAGCCCAGAGCAGCACTGCCCCAGGTCGCAGTGTGAGCCAGAGCAGTTTAGTCTTGGAATAGCAAAACCAGACAAATAGCAAATAGCATCTATCTCTGCCTGTTTCCTGCTCCCCTAGAGCGAGGCAGCAGCTCCCCATCTATCCACTCAGCTGCTGCTGAGGGTTCAGAACAAAGCAGTGGTGAGAGCTGTTCCCATGCTGTCCCTCTGCTATTGCTGTCTCTAAGGCTGTAAGGAGGTTTTCCAGCTTTGCTCCCCTCATAATCCCAATGCTACCTTCACGCTCCTCCTTCCCTCTCCACAAAAACCTGAGGAGTCCTGGAAACGTGTCAGAGCTGGCATTCTGCAACCCACTTGATCAGGCCCCAGCTTTGGTGCTCGGTATCCAGAGGTGGAACCTACTGTTGAGATCACAGCCCACGAGCTCCATGCGCAGGGTGGTCCGGATGCTGTAGTGAGTGGGGTGGATGCGGATGTACCGGGCTATGATGGGAGGGTTGAAGCGATTTTCCTTCACGGCACTTGCATCCACGTTTGCAAAGAACAGCTGCAAGGGAAAGGGGAGGAAAGGATTATTGTACCAGCAAAAAGACAGCTGGACAGGGCAAGGATTAGTGGGGAGAAGAACGTTTCTGTCTGGCCTTTCGTGAGAATGGCAGCTCAGGGAAAAGGTTTGAGAGGAGATTCAGACCAAGGAAGTGTGAATGGGCCAAATCAGGGTGAACCACTGAGAAACAGGAAGAAGTGAAGCCTAGGGCCTGTGCTAATGAACATGCTTTTGTATTTCCACCAAACAGAGAAAGAAAAAGAAGACTTTAGAACCTGGGAAAAGTTTTGGCCACAGATGGTGCACATGATGGAGGCTTTTCTGGATACTTGTTTTCTCTGTCTGGAATGATCAGCTTATGCATATTTAGTTTGTGTTTTGTTTTGGGTTTGTTTTTTTTTACTAATGAGTAGGGGTTCCCCAAGTCATCTGCACCTGCACAATGCTTTTAGAAAGCCCAGTTTGCCTTTGGGGTCAAATAAAGATATTCAGGAAAAATCTTACACCTAGCTCCAAGTAATATGCAACATAATTTTAAGTGGCAGATGTCACAGCCACCTGGGATTGTGGAAGGAAATAGTCAGTTTAAAAGGAGACAGATGGATATAGAAAATATGTCCCTTGCAGATCTGTGATCTATTCAGCCATCTTGGCAGTAAATGCTCACTGATCCTGCCCTAATCAGATATCTCATGGGTTCAGGAGATCTCTGCCTTGTGTAAGGAGGTCCCTAGCCCCCATCACCCCAAGAGATGCCATTATGGGAAGGTGTTCTCCTCAGGACCTGTTTGCCTTACCATCTGGGTGCTGGTGGCATTCCCCTTGTATTTCTTCCACATTCGCCCATCGAGGCTGTAGAAGACAACGAACTGGGAGATGTAAAGGCTGGAGAACTTCTGTCGGGCTCCCTGTGTTTTTATGCCATGAATAATCATGAGATGCAAAAGGTCCACCTGAGAACAAAGTCAGGGACATGTTTTTGACGGAAAACCAAAGCTATGTTTGGGCAATGCCCTGTAAACCCATGGAACTCACTTCCTTGTGATAGAACTGAGCACAGGTTATGGAACTAGTTTAAAAAGTAAGACTGCTCATAATGGCTCCTCCTACCTGGATCCAGGCATCACTGCGGTCTGTGCTCCAAGCATTGATGGAACCTGTGTTATCCAGCCTGGCCAGGTAAGGAGCCCATTGTCCTGTGAGAAGAGCACAAAGATATGAGGGCAAGTTGTGTTGGCTGAGGCTGTCCCAGCCTTAGTTGACCTCCTTGCAGCGGCAATCCCTACTCACCATACTGCCCCGATGCTGTGATCTGAGAGTCTGCGATGTAGCCCGAGGCCAGGCCAAGGGCATTTCGGCAGTCTGCAGGCAAGCAGGGAGAAGGAGGGTGGAAAACAGGGAGACTGCTTAGATAACCAAGCTTTTAAAGGAAAGGCCTAGGCTGAGTAGCAGCCTCCAGGCTCAGGGAGGTTGTTTCAAGCCTCAAGGAACCCCCAGGATTGTTTGTCTTGCACTACACAGTGGATGCTGAGAGCCCTGGGGGACAAGGAGCTAAAAAATATGGTGGCCAGGGTGCAGAGAGGATGACTCACTCAGGTTGTAGACGAGGAAGAGAGCACTCATCCCAGCTTGCTGGTGCTCTCCCACTTTGCACTCCACCTGCCAGATCCCAGCATGTGAGGGCCACATCTCCACTGTCCCGAAGACACCTGGCCAGGAAGGGAGAGCAGAGGGGAATTACTGGTTGTAATGGGATGCTGCTGTGCCAAGCACTGCACAATCATACAGTCATACTCTTCCAGATCCATTCCCCCTCCTTGCTATCCCCCCACAGGCTTGGCACTTCCTAATGGGCATGGACACAAAGCCCCAGCAGCTGGGGTGCCCGTGCTGCCCATGCTGCATCTCACCAGGATAAAGGTTGTAGACTCCCATGCGATACTCCTGGCTAGTCCTGACGCTGAACAGCTGCCCATGGAAGTGGATGGAGTGGATATCCTCAGTGCTGCCCATGTTCAGGAGGTGCCATCGGACCCGTTGCTGCTGAGCCATCACCAGCCCAGGCAGTGTGTCACTCACGTAGCCGTTAATGGCTGGGGAAAGCAGCAGGCAGGACTGGATTGAGGCTCCAGGGTTTTCCCAACCCAATATAGATTGTAGGATGGAAAGGGCAAGGGTCCTCACCATGGAAGGAATGGTTTTTCTTGAAGTCAGGGTTGTCCTGCTGGATGCGGCAGGGAGGGCGGCAGTTCCTCTCCATGTTCTCCAGGAAGTACCAGCTTTTGGTCTCATCAAAGATGGTGAAGAGCAGGGAGAACTCCTGCACTGCCAGCTGACGCCTGAAAACGAAGTTCAGCACCCCGCGGCGACAGATGATCAGTGGCCCAATGAGGCCTGAGTGCAGGTCCTTCTCCTGCCAGGAAACCAGGAAAAAAGGGTTTGCCTCAGAAGGGGTGACAAACCTGCAAGTAGCACAGCAGTGAGGAAAGTGGTGGCCCTGCCTGCACCCCTGGGCTGGCTCCCACCCATGGACAGGGCATGGCATGTGCAGGGTGGGAAGGACATGCTGGGTTCCCTGGGGGACCTCCACTCTGCTCTAGCTAAGAAAGGCTGTGCAGAAAGTGTTTGCATGTGCTTTCAAGAGAAGTGGGGTCTTGTCTGTTCAATCATCTGACAGGCTCTACCCTACTAACATTGGAATCCATGGACCAAATTCAGTCAGATTTGGCAGAAGGGAGGGGACTAGTTCTCTACAAGTCTCATGAGCTAGTACAACTGGGGAAAGGGGGAAAAAGCCCAGTTAAGAGAAGAGAAAAATCATCAGTATGCATTCATCACTGTATTAGATAACTGAGAATCTACACAGCCACAAGCTGCTCTCAGCACAGCACCACAGAAGGAGCCCTGAGCTCACAGCGAGGACCCAGGCATGCTGCCCATCTCTTCTTCCTGGGATGCCCCATGGAGCAGGCTCCCACCTACCAGGTCCACGTCGGAGAAGTAAGCCCAGGCCTTGCAGTCAAACTCCTGTGTGGTGGGTGCCATCTGGGGGGGAACTTTCCAGGAATACTTCCGGACCTCTCCAGGATGCACCCCCTCTCCATCCTGCGGCGTGTCCTGCCCCCCCTCATAGGCTTTTAGTTTGGAATAGAAGGAGAAGGGCCTCGTGGCCAGGTTCTTGAAATGAACCTGCACCAGAAGGAAGGCAAAGCAAAGGGGCCGTAGGAATGGGCTACGCGGAGCCTGCAGACCCCCCTCAGCCCTCCCGCTGGCTGAGCACAGCCAGCAACAGGGGCACGTCAGGTTGTATAGGAAATGGGAACTTGCAAATCACCATGATGACATCTTCAACTTCTGCCCTGATGTACGGCCCAAGGATGCCCAAGTGCTCATCCAGCTCTCCCCGTTGCAGTGGCTGCGTGAAGGAATCGTCCAGGTACTCCCGGAAAACCACCTTGCGGTACCGCCGGAACGGCTTCCTCCTGCCGCTCCATGGGTGCCTGCCAGGGGTGCAGCAAGTTAAGTAAGTCAGGTGATACTATCCCATAAGGAGGGCAGCCATGGCAGGGCAGGGGTGCTGCAGAGGCTGAAGCAACCCTAACCCACGTGCAAGGAAGCTCAAGGGTGCTGGAGGTGCAGAGCTCCCCAGGTGGAGCATTGCTCCCCTGGGCTGTAGAGCCATAAACCTGTGGTCCTGCTGCCACGACATACCAACTCACACACCAAGCCACGCCACACAGTGCAGAAGGAACACCCGAGGGATGGTCACACTTACATGGCTTTGAGGAAGTGCTGGGGTCTCTGGTTCCCATACTCCCACATCACCTCCACTGCTGCAATGAAGTACTGCCGTACCGCCCCCTGGAAGGAGCGCGGGTCGTGCTCCTCGTCCTCATAGATGTCAAAATCCTCCATGGTCTGCTCTGTGTTGCTGTACTCATCATAGTCCTGCTTGTCAGCCTTTGGCCTCCAGGAGCTGGAATGGCTGCCGTTGTTCAGAGCCAGTCTCTCCCTATGTTCTGGGGCATGGCTCCTTTTCCCAGCCGTGCTATTGCTTGTCCCATACTCCCTGGGTTCTCCCAGGCCCTGGCCCTCTCTCTTTCCAGTTTCTCTGAGGACATCTTCCCCACCAAGCACCTGCTGTCCCTCTGGACTGGCTGGCATGTATTTGTCTGGTATTTTAGTAGTGCTGTGATTGTGAGTGAGGCTGCTTGCAGACAGGGAGTAGTTTCCTTTGGAGGCTGGTCTCAGAGGGATTTCTTCGGGGCTTTGCCCAGATGTGGCCTCAGACACATAGCCCTGCATGGCATTGTCCTTGAGCTGCTGAGACTGAAGACTGGAGTGACCCAGTTGCTCCACAGAGTTTGTCTCCTCCTCCATCTGGCCTCTCCCCTGAGCTGGCTCACTCCCAGGAGCCCCCCAGACAGCACCTCTGCCTGGCTGCAGTCCAGCCAAAGCTGGGCTCTGCAAGCCCCCAGCCTGTTCCACTGCTCCCAGGGAGACTGGGTCCCAGTTTGAGGCCAGGTCTGCAGCCACAGCAGCACCCTGTGTTTCTGAGCTGCTTGCTGCCATCTCCATCTTTCTTCCCAGTGTTCCCCACATGGAGGAGGAGTGTCCCCTGCTCTGGGCCCCCTCACTGCTGCTCTGTCCACCCCCATCTGTGCTTGGCTTCCCCTCAGGATGCATCTCAGCAGCACTATCTCCAAGCAGAGCCTGTGGAACATCCCTGCCCGGGTGTAATTTCCCTTCAACCATGTTTGATTTTTCTTCTGGGTTTTCCTGGGCCACTGTCACCTCAGGCAAAGTGTCACTTGATATCAGGGACCTCTTTTTGAGGTGAGTGCTGCAAAAAGGGGAATGAAGTCCACATGCCTTTGAAGCTTTCTTACTCACTGCTGTCTCAAGGGTCTGGTTGGCCAGATCCTGCTCTGTTCTGTTACCTTCAGAGAGGGGGTCCCTGCTGCCAGGCCAACTGGTGTTAGGAAGACTCAAACCATCCATCAAGCCTCTACTCTCCCGTGACTGGGCTGGTTGAGGCCCCCAGTCGGGGCCACTCATGTTTGGGGCTGGAGCTCTGTGTCTCAGAACTGGCTCAGGGCTGTTCAAGAAAGAATTTGGGTGCTTCCTTGTGTCATTGTCCATAACATTCAATTCAGGAAAGGCAAGACTGTCCATCTCTGTCATCTCCTTAGTGGCTGTGACGTCCTGAAACACTGCCTCCAAGATTAATTCATCCTTCTCTTCTGTTGTTATGTAGCTGGAAGGCTCAAGGTCATTGGTGCTTACAAAGGTGGCTTCTAGAAGGCTTGTGCTTTTGGCAAGTTCACTGGTCTCTTGCTCTGTGCCACTTTCTGCAGGCAAGGAGTTACTCTCATTTGTGAGGATTTCTTCTTGGACAGGTTTTCTGGGTCCCAGGTCTGAAACATTAATCCCTTCAAAAGATTCATTGAAGCCTTGTGAAATCACTTCATGAGGTGTTTTTTCCAGCCTAGCATGTAGCTCTTTTGATGAATAATTGCTTTCTCTGGTGTGGCTGTGAATGACAGCATGAGAAGTCCTGTTGTCTCCTGTCTCATCTGAAGATGCAGAAGGATTGTCCACTGTGGAGGAAGAGGTATGATCAGTACTTAAAAATGGTTCTGTATTGATTGTCTCCTTTGACCCATACAGATTTAAGGTTATGTTATCAGCTCCCCTTAGCAACTCGTCCTCAGGACCATGTGAAGACTTGTCTTGAAGTCCCAGATTGTGCTCCAGGTCATTCTGGTGAAATGAGCTCTTGTTCTGTTGAAGAGCAGCTTTGCTAGCAGCATAAGCAATTGAAGCCCACAAGCTTGTTGCTGGAGTAGTTGTCTTTAGAGGCCCTGCTTCCAGGTTCTCTAATGTACTTCCAGACTGGACCATTGTCCTTCTTACTGGCTCCCGCACTTCTGAGATTTTTGTCATATTCTTTCCTGCCAGAGCATCTTCTGGAGCTGGCGTGGCTTGGTGCAGCCATTGCTGACCTTCTTCTGTGCCCACGGTACCATGGACCCTTCCATTGATGCTTGTCAAGTGTTCTCCAGGTGGGACAGCCCCAAACCCTTTATCCTGGCTGATGATTTCTGACAATCCCTTTTCATCTTCCAGGAAGGATTCATAGGACACTGGCTCATCGTTTGTCTCTTGTAAGGAAGGTGTTGAAATACCAGGTGGATGTGGGATTGCTCCTAAAAATGTTGATGTGCTATTGGAAGGTGGATCAGACATCCTGCCATTGCCCAGGAGGGCCCCAGGGCTGGGTTCTGTCAAGCACAATCTTGGCTTCTCTGTCTCATTTCTGGAAGAGGTGACATTATTCAGTTGCTCATTCACACACGGCCTGTGCCACTTCTTCCTTTTAGAGAAGCCCCTGGGTTGGAAGTCGAAGGTTTCCTGCTCCTCATCATAATCCACATAATCTTCCTCCCCATCAGGGTACTGCTCCTGTTGGCACTGTGAGACGGTGAACTTGGCACGCATCCCTCGGTCCCTGAAGTCAGGATTCAGGCAGCCCAGCATCCAGATGCCTGTGTCAAGAGAGGGCAAGAGGACATCATCAGCCCAACAGAGTGGGAAATCCCAACAGCTGCCATCCCCATGTGGCTCCCTTGCTAACGCAACCTGTATTTCCAGGAAGCTTCTGGTTCATGGTAGATGTCATGTTTTTGTATTCCCTAGAGTAGTTTACAGCTGGACTCACAAGGCATTAGGGATACCAGCAACATCAGAGCCTGTCCTGACCCACACCATCAGCAGGGCTGGTGTCTCCTGCCAGAGTTTAGTGGGCTTCTCACACCCACGAGGCCCCAGCAATAGCTTGGTGAGAACATTGAATGCACTAAGAACACACAGAGCCTCCAGGATTACTACCAGCAGCAGAATAATCACCACAACCCACCCTCAAAGACATGCTGGTGCTGTCAAATACACCCCTCCCCCAGATCCAGGGCTGCTGAAATGTGACAGGGTACCCAGCTGGAGGTGCTCACTCATCTCCACTGTGACTCCAAGTCCGTGGTTTATAGAATAGCCTGTGTTACTAACCTGGCTTTTCCAAACTCATGAAGACAGTTTCTCCAGAAAATGGGAAAAGGGTAAGCACATCCTCAAAGACCATGTTGTGCTTGAATGTGTTTCCAGAGAAGAAGATGGAGAGGAAATCTGTTTGGGCTCCAACACTCAGGACATACCAGTACACAACATCATGCAGGCAGAGTTTTGGTTGGAGGTTGTCAAACACAAAGCCATTAATAGCTGGAAGAGAGCAGGGGTAAAACATTTCATTAGGACCTGATTCCTTCAGGGCTGCTGACTTCCCTGCTTGTTCCCTGGGGCAAGGATGGGCCTGTGTCTGCTGGGGCTTTGCAGGCAGCACTCACTGTGCATCACGTTGGAGGCATAGAACTGGGGGTCCTGGGTCTCCACGTGGTCTGGGTCGGTGCAGAACCGCCTGATGTTCTCCTCCAGGTACCAGCTGCGGTTCTCATCAAAGACAGAAAACAGCACAAACCTGGTTTTGTCTGACATTATCTGGAAGGCAGAGAGGAAAGGAGTTATTCCTGGTCTGATCAGAGTATCTGCCAGGTCATTGCCTAGGTGCACAGGGAACAGTTTACTGTTTACAGATTTCAGTGATGACCAGTGATAGAACAAGGGGCAATGGGTGCAAACTGGAGCACAGGAGGTTCCATGTAAATATCAGGAAGAACTTCTTTCCTGTGAGAGTGACAGAGCCCTGGGACAGGCTGCCCAGAGAGGCTGTGGAGTCTCCTCTGGAGACATTCAAAACCTGCCTGGACGCATTCCTGTGTGATGTGCTCTGGGTGACCCTGCTCTGACAGGGGGGTTGGACTGGGTGATCTTTCGAGGTCCCTTCCAACCCCTAGGATTCTGTGGTACTGCTATTTCACAGGAATTAGGATCCAGGCTTGGAAAGAAGGGAGCATGCAAGGTCAGGCCATTGGGACTGACGGTAGGGTTGATCAGGAGAGACACATTTGATTTTACCCAAATATTCCACCCACTGCAGCTATTCCAGCCCTTCAGCCTGGCAGTTGAGGTGACTCAGGAAGGACCCACCTGATTTCCCCTCTGATCCATGGACTTCTTGGAGCAGACCAGGAGGGGCCCGATCAGGCCCGAGGCCACGTCTCGCTCGGGGTGGATGGAGCTGTAGTAGAAACGGGTGAGGCAGCGCGGATCTGCCGGCGTGGGGCCGTCCTCGCTGGTCACCCTCCAGCTGTAGGTGAACGACTGTCCAGGGGGAATAGGGATGTCCTTCACCTCCTTATCTGGCAACACACAGCCCGAGGGCAGATCAGTTAGGTCTGTGCTGCTCCAGAAAGGGGGGGGGGATTTCACTTTTAAAAAGAGCTCAGAAAGGAGGTTTCCTGACCGCACAAGTTGCCGAGAAAGCTACCCAAACCCGTGGCCACCCTGGCTGCCAGTCTGTGCTTGCATGGAAAGCTGATCTGGTCAAAAGGAACCTCTGGGAACAGGTGACATGGGGAGGCATATGCCTAATTTTGTAAGCCCTTGGAACTCCTGCAAACTGGAAAAATTGCCCAGTCTCAGCTGTGTTTGGCCTCTGGGCTGCCTAGAGGAGTTTGCATATGAAAGTACAGGGAAGGGCTGAAGTAAGTGAAAAACAGCAAAAAAAAATATAGCAAATGCAGATAGACCATGAGAAAAGCAAGGAGAAGATCTGTAAGGAAGAGAAGGAAATTGCAAATGCAAACAAAACCTCTGAGCATTCAGCAGGTTGAAGCACAGAATTGTTGTGGTTGGAAAAGACCTTTAAGATAACCGAGTCCAACCATGTCCTAACCCTACCAACCATTAGCCTGACTCTACCAAGTCCAATGCTTAAACCACGTTCCTAAGCTAGAGCAAAAACCACAAGGCTGCAAGAGGGAGAATCTGAATCATAATGAACCCCCCACATGAAAGCAGGGCAGGGGAAGCCCAGGGAACAAAGCCTACAGGATCACCAGGGTGGTTCCTGCCTCCTCAGAAAATGATGGGTCGGACAGCCAGTCTCACCATGGGCTGCAGGAAGCTCTCCTGGCCCACAAGAATGGCAGTGGCCAGGTGATGTCCCAGATTCTTGTGGCCTGCCTTACCTTGAGAGAGCCTCAGGGTGTGGAATGGGCCCACGCTGGTGAGGCCATGAGGGTAGATGTTGTAGGGTCGGCTTGCCAGGTTCCTGAAAACGATCTGAAATAAGGACAGCCAGCA